GGCCCTAGGTTGGGCCAAGATGCGCACCAGATAGCTTAACTTTGCTCAATATAGGCCCCACCAAGTCTCAAAGAGAGAGAGAGAGAGAGAGACAGAGAGAGAGAGAGAGAGGGGACCCAGCCCTGCACATACCCAAACCCAAATAGGCCGGCGCCCGGCTGTCAGGCGTAAGCCTCATAAATCCGGGCGCCGGCCACGCGCACGTTCCCTTGCCGGAGGCCTTCGGTTGGTAACCGAAGGTTATATACGCTCGCCGCCCCTGCCGCCGACCCTTTTGTTCGACCGCGGGGATACCCCGTGTCGACTCCGTGTCGACCCCGTGTCGACCCCCGCCCGAATCCGGTCGACAGATTTATATGTTGTCTACCAGTTTTTTGGCGCATGATGTGGAAAACATCGTTTTTTACAGTGTTTCGTGGCCTTCGGCGGAGACGACTTGCGCCTAACAGGGCGCCGGTGGTGTCGGCTATGCGTGCCGCGCGGACAGGCTTAATCGACATTTCGTGGGTGTTGGGCACAGAAGTTGCCTAACATATCCCTAACATAGGCTCAAGATAGCCAACATATCCCCAACATAGCCTCCAAGATGGCTCAACATAGGGCCAACATAGGGCCAACATAGGCCAACATGGGGCCAACATACGCCAACCTAGGCCGAACATAGGCCCAGCCTAGGCCAACATAGGCCTAACATAGGCCGACCTAGGCCCAACATAGGCTCAACTTGGACCCAAGATGTGCCCAACATAGACCACGTGGGCCCAACTTGGCGCAACTTGGCGCAACTTGCGAAGGATGCTGCCGGGACGCCCGAAGTCCCGGCCCCCGTCGTAAACGAGGGTGGGAGAGCGATGCTCCCCCACAACCTGATAGCAGGGATAGGGAAAGAGACAGGGACAGCTACCGACAGAAAAACAGCGAGAGACGGAAAGAAAGTGAAAGACAGAGACACGAAAAAGAGAGAGAGAGAAAGACAGGTACCAGGACGAAGACAGAGACAGATACAGACAAAGAGAGGAAAGGGAAAGAGAGAATGAAACAGACAAAGCAAGAGCGACAGAGAAGAGAAAGTGCCGTGCCCTACACACACCCTCTTTCTGCGGCTTTTTTGGATCTTAAGGTTGGGTTCTCTGTCTCTCTCTTTCTCTTTTTTTGAGCCTTGGTGGGGTCTATACTGACCAAAGTTTGGCCATCTGGTGCGCATCTTAGCACTAGGTTGGGCCAAGTTGGGCCCATGTGGTGTATGTTGAGCACATCTTAAACCCATGTTGACACTATGTTACACCTATGTTAGGCATATGTTCTCCTGGGTTGGGCCTATGTTGCCGTACGTTGGCGTACGTTGGCCCCATGTTGCAAACGGGGCACTGGCCCTGCACGTATCCCACACCCAAATAGGCCGGCGCCCGGCTGTCAGGCGTAAGCCTCTTAAATCCGGGCGCCGGCCACGAAGCCCGTGCCCTGCCCGGAGGGCCTTCGGTGGTAACCGAAGGTTATAGACGGTCGCGCCCCCTGCCGCCGACCCTCGTCACCAAAACGGGGGGACCACCGGGTCACTGATATTAATGTAATTTACAGTGCATCGTGTGTGTGAGGTATAAAAAACACTGTGTTTTACAGGGTTTATTGCGCATATCGAAGTACGACGCGGGGAAAAGGGAAAAATGCAAAAATGCTGTGTTTTTTCAAGGGCGGTGTCGGTAATGCGGGCCGGGCGGACAGGCTTAATCGACATTTTGTGGGTAGAGGCCCTCCAGACGATTTACATTTCCTAACATATCCCCAACAACATAGCCTCCAAGATGGGCGCCGGCCACGAAGCCCGTGCCCTGCCCGGAGGGCCTTCGGTGGTAACCGAAGGTTATAGACGGTCGCGCCGGCTGCCGCCGACCCTCGTCGCCAAAACGGGGGGACCACCGAGTCACTGATATCAACGTAATTTACAGGGTTTCGTGTGTGTGTGTGAGGTATAAAAAACACTGTGTTTTACAGGGTTTATTGCGCATATCGAAGTACGACGGGGGGAAAAGGGAAAAATGCAAAAATGCTGTGTTTTTCAGGGGTGGTGTCGGTAATGCGCGCCGGGCGGACAGGCTTAATCGACATTTTGTGGGTAGAGGCCCTCCAGACGACTTACATTTCCTAACATATCCTCAACATAGGCCCAAGATAGCCAACATATCCCCAACATATGCCCAACATAGCCTCCAAGATGGCGCAACATAGGGCCAACATGGGGCCAACATAGGCCCAACCTGGGCAAACATAGGCCAACATAGGCCTAACATAGGCCGACATAGGCTCAACATAGGCTCAACATGGGCCCAAGATGTGCCCAACATAGATCACATGGGCCCAACTTGGCCCAACCTAGGGCCAAGATGCGCACCAGATAGCTTAACTTTGCACAATATAGGGCCCCCATCTCCGACGCGGACCAGTTTCGCACCTTGGCACCACCCACGGCCCATTACGCCCCCGATAGCTTAACGTGCACCCGACCCAGCCCTACACAGACCCAAATGGGCCGGCGCCCGGCTGTTAGGCGTAAGCCTTTAAATCCGGGCGCCGGCCACGCGCCCGTGTCCTTGCCGGAGGCCTTCGGTTGGTAACCGAAGGTTATATACGCTCGCCGCCCCTGCCGCCGACCCTTTTGTTGGACCTCGCGTATACCCCCGCCCGACCTCAGGTTAAATCCGGTCGACAGATTTATATGTAATTTACAGTGTTTTGTGTGTGTGAGGTACACAAAACACTCTGTTTTACAGGGTTTTGGGCCCCTCGGCGGCCGAGAATTTCATCTTGGCGATGTTAAAAAACGTAAGTTTTTCAATGGTTTTTGCTTTGCGGGAAGGAAAAATCGTAAAAAGTTGTATCGGAAGATATTTTTCAACATAAATTGTCTAAAATCTCCCCAACATAGGCCCAAGATAGCCAACATATCCCCAACATGTGCCCAACATAGCCTCCAAGATGGCTCAACATAGGGCCAGCACAGGCCAACATGGGGCCGACATACGCCAACATAGGCCCAACATAGGCTCAACCTAGGCCAACATAGGCCAACATAGGCCTAACATAGGCCAACATAGGCCCAACATAGGCTCAACATGGGCCCAAGATGCGCCCAACATAGACCGCATGGGCAATGGCTCAACCTAGGGCAAAGATGCGCACCAGCACATAGCTTCACTTTGCTCCGTATAGGCCCCACCAAGTCTCAAAGAGAGAGAGAGAGAGAGAGAGAGAGAGAAAGACAGGACCCAGCCCTACACAGACCCAAGTGGGCCGGCGACCGGCTGTGAGGCGTAAGCCTCATAAATCCGGGCGCCGGCCACGGGCCCGTGTCCTTGCCGGAGGCCTTCGGTTGGTAACCGAAGGTTATATATGCTCGCGCCCCCTGCCGCCGACCCTTTTGTTGGACCCCCGGTATACCTCCGCCCGACCCCGTGTCGACCCCGTGTCGACCCCGTGTCGACCGATTCATATGTATCTTGCGCAGGCTGTTCAAAAAATGTTCAAAAACATCATTTTTTTACAGTGTTTCGTGGCCTTCGGCGGACACGACTCTGGCCTAACAGGGCGCCGGTGGTGTCGGTTATGCGTGCCGCGCGGACAAGCTTAATCGACATTTCGTTGGTGTTGGGCACATAAATTGCTCAACATATTCCCAACATAGGCCCAAGATAGCCAACATATCCCCAACATAGCCTCCAAGATGGCTTAACATAGGGCCAACATAGGCCAACATGGGGCCAACATACGCCAACATAGGCCCAACCTCGGCCAACATAGGCCTAACATAGGCCGACCTAGGCCCAACATAGGCTCAACTTGGGCCCAAGATGTGCCCAACATAGACCACATGGGCTCAACTTGGCCCAACCTAGGACCCAGATGCGCACACTTTGCTAAATATAGGCCCCACCAAGTCTCAAAGAGAGAGAGAGGACCCAGCCCTGCACATACCCAAACCCAGATAGGCCGGCGCCCGGCTGTCAGGCGTAAGCCTCATAAATCCGGCCAGGGGCCCAAGGGGCCCCGCCCTGGCCGTGTCCTTGCCGTAGGCGTCTCTCCTCTCCGTAGGAGAGAGTGGCGTCCCGCCCCTGCCGCCGACCCCCCAACAGACCATGTAGAATCGTGTGTTTTACAGTGTTTTCTGCTTCTTCCACTTTTCCGTCTTTGTGGCTCCAGATGGGCTAACATGGGCTAACATAAGCCGAAAATAGGCCCCAATAATGCTGGAAACGCGCGCCGCATTGGGGAGCTTCGTCTGCATCGTGGCGGCTGCGGGGCCTACGTTCACACCCACAACTACCACCACGACAACCACAACAAGAGCAACCTCAACAACAACAACGACCAGAACGACAACAACAACTTTCTTTCTTTCTTTCTTTCACACGCGCTCGAAGTACGAGAGGCGCCGTCTTCGGCATGGAAACTGCCGGACTCTGGAGAGTCATCATGTTGGCGGAGCTCGCTCTGGTCAAAATCGGACATGTCATCCGGCCAGAGCTCTGGGGAAGCTATATGGCACACAGCAAGGATTCCATCAATCCAGCAAAAAGTTGCCAAACTCAAAAGAAATCGGATCAGGGAAAATGAAAAGCAAGTCATGGCTCAAACTACGGATGGTCCCTCAGTGCAGTCTGCGGCCCTCAGTGTCATCACACAGCGGCATGTCAGGACGCAGCTGCTCAGCCGGCAGCGGCAGACGAGGTGCAGCAGCACATTCAGCAGCGCTGCAAGGGCCGCTCAGGGCCAATGCATCATCCACACAGCGCTCGGCAGCAGCCATGCGCTTACTAATGTTTGCCAAGGAGCTAGGAGAGGGAGAGTCCTCCAGCGCAGTGCCGGAGGTGTCCTCCATCGGCATCATGTCACCGCTCAACGGCATAGGAGTCCCCCGAGTGTCAAGGGCCTCAGTGGAGTCCTCGTCATGGAGAGCTGTCAACAGCTCTTGCAGCCCTGCATTCGGCAGCCGGTTCAGGGTATTGCCTGAGGGTGGTGAGGGGGGTGTGGATGCCAGGGCCTCAGCCTCCTGTGGAGGAGCAGGCAGTGGTGCAGGAGTGCAGCATCGGTTGGCATCTCTTCAATTGGTACCGTCCACCAAAGTACCCCCCCGGGCATGGACCCAGTCTGGCAAACTCTCAACGAGACAAGGCGCTATGTTGTCGTCACAGACCCTCCAAGTTCCCTCAGGCCCCACTCTGATGGCCGCACGGTAATGGCCATTCATGGATGGCCCAAGGTGCGCGACAATGGCGACGACCCGGTGCGCCTGCCACCGAACCAAAAGGCCTGTGTCCTCAAAGACTGGAACATGGAAGATCTCGTCATGGTCGATGTGGGCAAAGTGACCTAGGAGGCGGGTAGAGTCGATGTACCGGTCGACGAAAAACACCTTGGGTCCAGAGCTTTGCAAACACGCTGCAACCATTCCAACACCAAAGTGCCATGGTTGAATCAAATCGTTCAAGTGCAGTCTATTTCGATCCAGCTCAAACACATGTACCAGCGCAATCGGCTGGTGTGCTGTACCGGAGTCATAGACTTCCATTCCTTGCGAAGAGGTGACACGTCGCTCCCACGCCATGGAAATCAGTCCTGGATTCAACCACTGTGTGAGCTCAGTGGTGAACTCACAAATGTCTTGCGGTCCAAGACGGTTCATGGCTTCCCGCAACAAGGGACGCAGCACCTTTTCTTCAATCAAGGAAACAGGAGTGTCCTTGTGAATGTTCAAAAAGAAGCCCCGAAGCGGACGAAGTGATACCCCCAAATCGCCCAAACTGAAAGCGGCTCGCTGAAGTACTGCCCATAGCAAGCTCACAAAGCTGGCATTGATGTAACACCAGCTGCCAGTGTTGGTCAGGGTGAGCTCCTGAAGCAGCGACAACCACTCAAATCGAAGGCGACTCAACCAGTCTTCTTGGCTGGCGGATGCATCAGCTTCTGCAACTCCTGGGCTAACCGAGATCTCTGGGCGCCGTGCACTTTGAGCCTCGAGGCCAAGAGCATCCATATCGAAGACTGCGTCATTCCCTTCAGGTGCGCTGACAGGTTGTCGTTCCGGAGAGGGATTTGAAGTCGCCATGGAACCACCTCCCCTTGCGAATTCGGTGCTGCCAGGGCATGAAACCTCACACAGTTCTCCTTCTCCTGGAACGCCTGTTGCAGGATGGCAATCTTCTGCTCCATTTCCACCATTGAAATCGGTGGCGTGTTGTCGATCTCCACCTGTTTCAGGGCACCGTTCCAGCGATGAAAGGGAAAGGCATTGTCCTCGGTGATGAGCCTTGTCTGAATTGCATGGGTGCGGATCTTCTGGTTCTCGAGCTGCGCCTTGAACTTGCAGAAACGTTGATGGAGCTCGGCGACGATGGCTTGGATGAGGTAGACACGAAGTGGGCATTGGGCTTGTTCGGGCGACAAGTCCTTCCACTGACGGGCTGACCGAAGGAGAAGAGGCACCACTCCACGATCCCCCCTCGTGAAGAAGATCACAAACTGATCTTGCATAGCAACCGAGGTCAGCGCATCCTCGTGTCGAAGAAGTAGTGTCGACATCATGTGAACCATCTTCTGCAGCTGCGGCTGGTTCTGCGGAGTCGCCGGTGGTCGAGAGTCTCTCTGTGGTCCCCTGGCTCTCTTCCGTTGAGCATATGCAAGAATGCATCCTCCATCTGACCCAGCCGGTCGCTTTCTTGAATCTCCATCTCCTGGTCGGCCATTGGACAAAGGCGGTTTGGTGAGAGACAGCGCACAGGCTATGTTGAGCAAGGCAGCACATCTGTGTTGTACTAGTGCCCATGTGGTGTTGTCATGTAGGAGGTGATTGGGTGTCTGTCTATGACACAGATGACATGGTAGCGGAGCAGTGTACTGAGCCAAGAGATGCTGGTGCAGATAACGAAGCAAGGCTGTGTTGCTGGTGTATTGATCCGCATGCTGGTTGATGAGATGTGTGACCAGTGCGGCATCTGTGGTCAGGACTCGATTGCACAACAAGCAGTGTGTGGTGAGTGTCTCACCGTGCAGCTCTAGTGGAACCGGCTGGCATGTGTTCAAGGAGGCCATCCATCGAAGTAGTCCAGGCTCCTGGGAATGCACAGTCGAATGGCGTTGAACCAGTTTGGGTATGCTGCTTGTGTCAATGGCCCATGGCAAGAGGAGTCGATGGACTTGTGGGTTGTCCAAGTGATGTGTCATGGCTACTTGTCGAATGGGGAGACATCGATGGGATCTTTGGGCCGGTCTGGATGGATTACAGAGGCAGCCCATCTTCTGTTCTTCCAAGAGAGATGTGTAGACATCACTCTGTCGGCAGTACCCTCCATGCTGGGTTTGGATGTGTCTGGTAAGATCTGCAGCCCTGACATAGGTGGCACAGCACATGACACACTGCTGTGTGAGTCGATGCCGGTTCTGACAGTCCTGAAAGTAGATGGTCCATGATCCTCGATGGAGAGCTTGGAGCAACTCCGGGTCCTTGCAAAGAATGCCATCTTGTACATGTCGAGGATTGAGGACGGGGCAGGACTGCCTATCAATGTGTCGTTTCAATTCCCACTGTTCATGAAACCTGGTGTTGCAGTGGCTGCAAGTGGGTGTACCACGGGTAGCATCACGGATGCAAGTAAACCGCTGGTGGGAGTGTTCCAAGTGCAGATGCAGTTCAGTGGTGGTCTTGAACAGGTCTGCGCAGTGAATGCAGATCTGAGGAGCTTCAGCTGGAGGTGTCGGCGTGACAATTCGATCTGAGGTGAGAACCACTCCGGCCTGGAAGGACATCTCGCTCTGGTCGTGGGTTTGGTGCCACGTTCGTAATGCTGCCACCTGCAGCATGACACGGCACTGATGTCTAGCCCAGGGCAAGAAGGTGATCTGGCACATCTGACAGGGTGAGATCTGGGAGGAAATCCAATGTTGATAGATGCCCAGGATCTGTGTGGCAAGCTTGTGGTGGTCCATCTGGATGCGAGAAATCATGTCATGATGTCTCAGTTGATGTTTTCCACATATCCCACAGTGCGCCAACAAGAATTGGCACCAGTCCTGGTGGTCAGCGATGCTGTCGAGATCCGGTCCCGCAAGG